CTACTGAATGCACTACTTACACGGCAATTCAGAAAAAATAATGAGCCACTATAATGGAATTCAACTTGCAGCCTCCGAGTTCTATAAGTCCGCTCACATCGTTCTAATTTTTGGTCCAGATGTATACCCGAAGGTTATAAAATCGCAAACGCATTCGAGTCTTGAGTTCCCCGGGGCTAAACTTACTAATTTTGGTTGAGTGGCATCCTGTCCTTGCCCGATGTGGAGTTGCCTGAGATGATCGGCTCGTTTTATATATTAATTATTTAGATTGTAAATATTTTGCTATATCCGATAGGCTATTTATGTGTGAACTTTCTCTTGGCGGAATCGAGGCAGTGGTTCAAAACAAAATGCAACCAGATGCACCCTATATTGCAGCAGTTGAAACATTGTGGTCTAAAGTGAAAAACATATCCTCTAACTTGTATAAGCATCATTAAGTCCCGGCATCGGTCGGTTACAACATGCTGTCCGAATGTTGCTCTGCGGTATTTTGGCCCAATCTCGGCGAAGCGCTTGCTTGAGGTGATCGACACTTTTTTAGTGCCAACCTGGCTTTCCAAATTCTCTAGACACAACAGTAGAACGGAATGGCATCCGGAGATTTTGGTGGCCATTGAGCGCTGGAAATGAAGCGAGGTACCATTCTTGTGTGACGCTTGCTGAGTGCAATGGTGCTGAGTTATGTTGGAATGTACAAGGTGCGGTCAAAATGTTTGGGTGTACAAGGCTTTAATGCACCCTCCAGAATATTCATTCTGATGTCACGGTCGATTAATACGAGCGGAGAGCGACCATCGGCTGTTATGGCGGCCCACACCATCACCATGGCCGGCGCTTGAGTTCTGGTGGCCAACCGGTGGCAAGTAAACACGATCATTTTGTTTATTTACAAACCGCTGGACAACGAATGTTTTCTCATTGGAAAAAAAAAAACTAATTCGGCAGTTCACCACTTTCGGCCAAGCGAAACAATTCTTATGCTCTTTTGAGTCTATTTTCTTTCTGTTGTTGTTATTCAGGATCGATGAAAATTAATTTATTGACTGACTTTGTCGGTCAGCAGAGTAGTGCAACAGCAACGACGAAAAATCAATAAAGCAAGACAGAAGTGAAGCAAAAGCCAAGATCGAAGTGTCTTCTAAGTGAACTTCTAATTGAACTGTTTTGGTTGCAAAGTAGACGAAGACACATACATAACTTTTTGTGATACGACACGCTCTACCCGTAATCGATTTCATATCAATAGACCCTGCGAAATCAACACTTGTAGTATGAAATATTTGAGTAACTACAGCTATTTTCTGAGGAAGAGCTCCAGTAATTTGAGTACACGACCGGTTTCTAAAGGATACAGGTCTTACAAAAAACAATATTTGGCAAAATTATGTTAAAGTCGACTATTACCGACTGTAGGGTGCACGAAAAAGTAAATGGTAAAAATGCAATATAATCCAAAAGAGTCAAATTTAATTTATAAATAAATATTTATAAATAATTTCCACAAATATGAATAAATGAGCGAATTTTAGTGTTTAAATTAATTCACTAATGACGTCTGTAGAGTGCTTTAAGCGAAAAATATAACGGTCAATCGAAATTGAATAACGGCTAGATGTTATATTCAACAATAAAATCACAATAATTTTCAAGTAAAATTTATTAAAATAAATATCACTTTTTGGCAATTTAGACTACAACACACACCGCAATTTAGACTACCGCACAAAACGAAATAAAACACAAGCAGCGTCGGCAGAGCGATCATCGTATATAAGTAGTTAACTACCTCACTGCAAAACAACCAACGACGACGACCTAACAGTGATAGGTGCAGAGAGAAATAAATTGCTGGTAGATTTGAATGTTATTAAACCAAAGCTAGAAAAGAATATTTGGATATTTTTAATGTTGCGATTAAACGAAAAATAAACCAACGAAACCAATCCAACTATGACAGTCAATAATATTAAGAAATTGTAGGTATTTAAAATTGCATCCAAAAAAGGGCACGATGTAGAACAGTAGCGTTGTTATTGTTTTTTTTCTCACTATTGGCTGACGATGAAGACGACGAATAAAGAAGTGTATGCAAACCTCTTGGGAGAAATAATAAGCAAGCACTATATAATCTATCACGGGCACACAAATAAAAGCAATGATAAGCGAATAATAAGCAATTATTAACGAATCAAAGTAGAATATTTTTATGATTAATTTAAAAAAAAATTTGCAAATGTATTAAAATAAATGACACCAGTAAGATAATTATTTATTTTAACATGCATATTTTGCAAAATCAAGATCAAATCAAGTCGTGACCAGTACCGACGACCGCAGCATTGGAAAGTGCCTCTCTGCATCCGAACTTAGCGAATATGACCTTTAGGAGAAAGTGCAGAAGAGAGCGTAAGCTCTCCCCCACAATCCGAACTAGGCGAATGTGACTCCTAAAAGAAAGGCAGTGAAGATTCCCCCATTGATATTATACACCCCGAGCCCATTTTTCAATATTTGCCGAATGGAATATTGCAATATGTTCAGCTGACGAGCCATTTTTGGGCCACTGCGACGCGGGTTTCGATCTTCCGTCCACTTCCTTGACGTCGGGATACGCTACCGGTATCACGGTAACGAGCGATGGTACCAAACACAAAAGATTTATTCACATTTAAATGCTGGGATACTCTAACGATAGCTACTTGTGGTTTTCCAGCCAAATATAAAGAAATCACACTATCACTCTTAACTTTTTTCTGGGAAATTCTAACCAAAATGCTTTTTTACGATTGTAAACAATGTAATGAGCTGTCACTGAAATATTTTTAAAAACTGTCGCACGAGCGGCTTGGAGATGACAACAGTCTGAAGTTGGTTGCAATTTTTTCATCTCACCCTGTATTATCCCAGAGGGACATAATCTAATCTGCTAACCACGCTATGCTGTGGTAGACGTGTGTAATATTCCTCGTAATTGAAAAATGAAAAAGACATTCCTTTAATTGAATGAGTGGATTAACTTTGTCAAATTTATTTAAAACTGAGCATTTATTAACTCCGTTATCCGTTATACAAATTGTGACATACACGTTTTTTAAAATTATTTGCAAATTAAAAAAAATCACATTGTGATTGTGAGACTTTTGTATTGACTCAGTCCGAAGACGCCATTAAAATAAACAACATTTGGCCGTCGATCATTCCATGGTTTCTTATATTGTTTGTGGCATTGATCATCAAAGCCGCTAGTAAAAAGCTAATTGACGCGTTCAAAATTGTGGTTAATAAGCGTGTTTTGAAGTCATAATTTACTTATGCCGTCGTCATTTTTTTGAGGTCTGACTTTGAATTTATTTAGCTGATCAAAAATATAAACAATACGAAATTTTGCTACAACTTGATATTTAAAACAGCTATGGGCAGCCTCGGACGAAAATGTATAAACAAACCAACACGAACTCGCAATGAGAATAAGAATTAGTCGTCGATAAGACACCGACGAATAAAGACGTGTGTGGCTGCACGCATTGCTACCGTTGATGCCCTTAGCGAAACAATAGTTTCATTATTATTTTATTTCAGCTTAACTACATGCCAGAATGCTACAATCATATTTTATGGTTAAAAATGCTATTGATAATATTCAATGCATTTTATGTGGCAAAATAAAAAATATGACGTATTGAGACGTCATTTTAACAATTTTTTATAAATATTAATATTTTTATTAAGTGTTCCCTGCTTCCAAAGCCTTAAATCTCCATTTTTTATTTAACTACTTTTGTGTCGATTATTTTTAAATTAATCAGTGAATTGTTTTTTTTTTTAATTTAATTTAATTTAATTTTTTTTATTTATGTTTTTAGTTGAATTAAAATTAAATTTAAATATTTGTATTTATACAAAACGTTTCCTCCTATAATATGCTAGTACACTGTAATAATAATAATATCATTATGCATTAATTGGCGCCAACAACTCATGAAATTTCTTTGAGTGGACGTTCACTCTCTCGCACTAATACACATTCATTTTTTGTTTTGAGCATCCCTGAGCCAGTGTTGCCAACATTTTGAGAGATAAAAGCGTAATTAAAAACCAGAAAAGCGTAAATGGCGTAAAAGCGTTCATCAAAAAAGCGTAAAAAGCGCTAAATATTTTTTCCTAACCAAAATTGTCAAAAAACACTTTTTTAACTAAATACTGTTTTATTCAAAAATTTAGATCGTATTTGCAAACTTCTGCCAAATGATTCACGGCCAGAAATAACGAATGTACAGCAACATAAAGGGAATGTCTTCCTTGAGCCTTTTGCATCTCACTTGCTTCTTTTGGATTAAACGATATTTCCGTCTGTTTTACATTCACTCCGCCAAAAGGTTGCAATCGTTTGGTGTGCTTCTTGGTACGGGAGTGTCTTACCAAAACGTTATACCTCACCAGAATTTCTGTCCTGCAGTACACCTAAGTCTGTTTTTACACGGTCTTTTTGTACACGGTTTTGATATAATATTGAATATTTTTAATTTATTTACACGATTTTATTCCATTTAGCACGATTTGAAATTTTATGTACTTAAATTTTTTTGTCAAATTTAATTTTTGCGAAGTATGTTCATATCACAAAAAAGTATTTATGAAAGAAAAAAGTCTGAAACCATCGATAGTTTGCGAACACTAGCTTAAAGATTTAAGTGAATTCCCCTTTAGCGCGTACAAACAATTTTTACTGGTCAAAGCAAATGTGAATAGCACTATGTGCATACAATAAAATTTACTGGTCAGAGCAATTGAAACGTGTTAATATTTTGTGAACTGTTAATGCAATAAGACGTGTTTGGTAAAGAAAAAAAAAAAAACTTCTTGTTTTTCACTAATTTTGATATGTTTTAGAGATTAGGAACAAATCACCCATTTTTGTATAAGATCAATGTCTTTTTTACACGGTTTTTTGTTTTACACGGCTTCTTCTGGAACCAATCTACCGTGTAAAAACAGACTTAGGTGTATAGGCAAGCATCTTTTGTCGTACCCTTTGAAGGGCGCAGCAATTTAATAAATATAGGGTCTTTCTCCCAAGCCGTTCTATATTTTGTAAAAATCAAAATAAACATTTACGTTTATTATGTTAACTTGCACAACAAATCAGCCATGTATGAACTTTTTTCTCGTTCATTTTACTTTTCCTTCAATTGGTTTATAATACACAAAATTCTTCGTTTTATTAAAAACGAGTTACGTGTAAACCAAAGAACCTCAATGGCAGGAGTGAAAGACACGTAAAGAATTTGCAGTAAAGAACTTGCGATAAGTAGATCCCATAATATCAGAATATTCGAATGTATAAACATTGCCACATTTTAAAATCTAAAACCCGCTAAAAGCACCAACAGAAAAGATGAAAAGCGTACGTACAGTGCTTTTTTTTCGTTTCGCGCTATGCCCACTATTTTGGCGTTTTGGGGTGTCTAAAAAGCACCATAAATAGCGCGAAAAGCACTAAGTTGGCATCGCTGCCCTGAGCTATGGGCATCCTCGAATGAAAAAGTATAAACAAACCAACAAGAACTCGCAATGGGAATAAAAATCAGTTGTCGATGAGACACCGACGAATGAAGACGCGTGTGGCTCTACGCATTGCTATCTTTGATGCACTTAGCGAAACAATCGTTTCATTTACATTTTTTCATTTCAGCTTAACTACATGCCAGAATGCTACAATCATATTTTATGATTAAAAATGCTTTTGACAATATTCAATGCATTTTATGTGGTAAAACGTTTATGCATAAAAGTTATGACGTATTGAGACGTCATTTTAACAATTTTCGAACAGTGAATTGTTTATTTACATTTAATTAAATATTTTGTTTAAGTAAGAATGTTTATGAAATATAGTTTATTAAACAAAGGTCAGATTTGTGACCAAAATTATCCTTAAAATCTGCATACTCCTTAATGTTACATCCTTGTTACATTTGTGTTGCAGATTTTAACGATAGTTAATTCGTTAAGTTGTTTGACGTTTTCCCCACCTCTCATCATCACTGTTTTTCTTCCGTTTTGGGATCTCGAAACGCAAACTACGCTTTTTTGTAAGCTGCGCATATTGTTGCAAAAACAGGTAAAATTGTTACCAAATTTATATATTTTATATTTATTAAACCAAACTATTTGACTCTTGGTCAAATATAATTCAAATTCTAAAATTAAAGTGTTTTATTTTGGTTTTCTTTTATTTACATTGGCGTAAACATTGGTCTCTTCGAGCCGCGTATTGAGTCGGTGTTGTTGGAGCCACTTCTAATTGGTTTGTTTGCTCTTTTTTAAACAGCAAAACAAAACATCCCCCCTACAGTCCTTTCATCATCAATCCACTTTCTTACTCATACATTTGATCTCATCAAAGACCAGGTACGTAAAGTGTGAGAATAATTAAAAAGTAAAAAGAAAAGCGAGAGTGAAAATAACAATAGTGTCGTTGATTTTGTGTGGCCGTCTTACAACGCGTCGCGCACCCCCTCCCGTACGATCGGTGCTTTACCCCCGACATACATTGTAATTACAAGTGAAAAAGAAAATAAAAAAAAAATATATAATAATAACCAAACATAACCAAAAGGGACTAACTTCCATTTATATTATTTGGAAAAAATCGCATTTAATCCCTTTAAAAGAGTGACAACAGTGCATAATTATAAATCAATTTTGCAATAAAAAATTAATTCATATATTTGTGCAAAAATATTTGGGTTTTTGCATTAAGTAATTGTGCCGAAATTGATTTAAAATACCCTCCTATTAATTTGCATAAAAATCCCTTTACGTTTGTTTGGTTATTAGCAAGTGACAACGGCTTACATCTATTTATTTGTAACGACAACAATAAACCAACATACGTACATACACGTACGCTCATCTAGTTGAGACGATCAGCCGTTCTGTTGTGTGGTCGGTCTGTTGGTCGTTTGTGCGGTCGATCTGTCGCTTGCCTGCTTGGTGGTTGATGACCACTCACATATTGGTGTGTGTGTGTTATTTTCTTTTTCGCATGAGTTGTGATTACCCTGTGGGAAATTTTGTTAAGTACACGTAACAAAAATAAAATAATTATATTGAAATATTTTATAGTAAATATTTTTGAACTTGATTCGGGGAAATTGTTTAAATATTTTTTGGAAATTAAAAATTCGTTTGCACGCTACAATCGGTCGATTCGACTTTTAATTAATAAAGTGATTTTTAGACCGTTTTGTAATAAAAAAAAAACAATTTTAATTGAAATTTTCGAAATTTTTAAAATTTGATTAATTGGCTATTGTGGAATTTCGTCCACAGTCGCCCTACAGTCGGTAGTAGCGACCACATAGAGATATTTTAGCAAAATTAAATTATAAAATTTCGATATTTTCGTTGGAAAATAATAATTTTAGCTAAAATTTTTAAATATTTTAACATTTTCGTTAGAAATTTTTTAAGTTTTAATTTTAAAAGATATATTTGAACGTGAAAATATATATGTTTGAAGCTTAAATATATATTTTTATATTTTTGAAAATTTATATTCACATATATATATACATATATTTGATTTTTGAATCAACCGTTTTTATTTTTTGTTTTTTTTTTTCGCTTTTTCTGTGGTTTTCGATTGTTTTTAAAATTTTTTTGATAAACTTCGTTTAAGTTCTGCTGAATTTTTGAAAGCGTGTGTGTTTAGATACGTATTGAGATACTCTAAATCGCTTACTGTCGACTCTATACTGAGTTGTATTAAAGTTTGAGTATTTTTCTTTGAATTTTTGGTCCGTATTGTCGATTTTAATTCCGCTGAATTTTAATTCGAGTGATTGTAGCAAGCTTTTATAATTCAAAATGCCAATCACTCCATTAGATCTCTTCATTAGAGCTTCTGATGCTCTAGTTAAATTCGAGGCTCATTATAATGCGCTAAATTCTGAAGAGATTGATCGATACGACTTAGAGGTTCGTAGTGAGGAAATTCAGAAACTTTGGGCACAGGCACATGATATGTTTGGTAAGTGCTTAGATTATTTAATGTCTTCCGTTGACGCCAAGAAAGAAGATATTGATTCGGTGGATAGTAAGTATGAGGTTTCTTATCAGACTTACTTAAGATGTTTGTCCGCAATTAGACGAAAGCTAGGGCAGCTAAAAAGAAGTCGTGAAGCTTCTGTAAATTCAACTTTAGATGGTTCGGTTGTTTCTCTTGGGCAACAATCTGTTTCAACTCCACTAGAATCTAGAGTTAATATCAGTTCGTCTACCCAAGCTTCGCACGAAGTTGGAATTCAGGTGGATTCAGTGGCGCCCTCCGTTAAAAGTTTTGATTTTGGTCCCATACAAAGTGATAGCGTTCATAATCTTGCGCTTCCGCCATGTGATACGGATGTTTTTGAGGGTGATTTTCATTCTTGGCCAACATTTAGAGATTTATTTACGGCCGTTTATATTAATAATGCGAGATTGAGCGATATTGAGCGGTTATGTCATTTGGTTCGGAAGACTAGTGGAGAAGCTCGAGAGATCGTTTCTAAATTTCCATTAACTAATCGTAGTTTTGTTCTCGCATGGAAATCTTTGAAAGAAACCTACGACAATCCCCGTGTTATTGTACACAATCAATTGAAAATTCTTTTCTCTCTTCCGGTGATTGATATTGAAACCAGTTCAAATCTTAAATCCTTGCAGCGTGGCATAAATGGGTGTTTGTCGGCTATGTCCATTTATGATATTTCGACGGATAATTGGGATCCGATAATAGTATTCTTGTGTTTACAAAGGCTTCCTAAAATCACACAAACGTTATGGGAACAAAGTGTGAAAAATAAATCTTCACTATCGTTGTGGAAAGACTTAGATGGGTTTTTGTCCGAACGCATTCAGACCTTAATGTGTCTGCACGACATGAGGAGTAATGATCCAACCAAGCGCACGACCAAAAAAGTACAGTCTCATTTTACCAATACAGATTCTTCTGCGCCTTCTCAACCCACGAGTGAATCAAATTCTAGAAAATCAGGATGTGTACTTTGTCCAAATAAAAACCATCGGTTGTTCGAATGTTCTCGATTTAGAAGTCTGTCAGCTTCTGATCGGTATAAGTTAGTAAAACGTCATTATTTGTGTGTGAATTGCCTTCGAAAAGGACACGAAGTAAAAAAGTGTGATAGTAATCGTCATTGTTCGAAATGTAATCAACCTCATCATACTTTATTACATCGTATTGATGCCAATTCTAATAATTCCGCTCCCGTGAACTCAATTGCATCAAATAGTTCGTCCGTCCATCCTCCTTTGCCAATAGAACAAAGTCTACCATCTACATCAGCTGGGTGTGTACCTCGTCAGGCTTTTCACTTAGCTCAAAACAAATCGGTGTTGTTAGGAACAGCAATGGTTACAATTGTCCTCCATGGCTTTTCTTATTCTGCAAGGGCGCTTATAGATCCAGCATCTGAGTCCTCTTTCTTATCTGAGCGGCTTCAGAAGCGTTTGAAACTCCCCGTGCATTCCACTAATGCTTCTATTTCCGGTGTTAATGGCACTGTTTCGGCCACTTCTCACAAATTATGTACGTTAAAAATAGGAAGTCCGATTAATAGTCGTGTTATTTTGGAAACTACGGCATTGGTTTTACCATCCATTTCGGGAAATATACCCTCATTTAATGTAAGTTCAGATTTAAGAGCTCAAATACCTGATCTGCAATTGGCAGATTTTAATTTATTTGATTCTAGACCCGTAGATCTTCTGTTAGGTGCCGATCTATATCCGAATATTTTGTTAGATGGTTGTCGGCCTATCCTTTCTGGTAGATTGTTGGCTCAATATTCGATATTTGGTTGGTTAATTACTGGGCCCGTTCCAACGACCGAAGTTCGAACATTTGCGACTACAATCGACGTGGTAGAAGAAGACAGTCTTAATAAAACTCTTTTACGGTTTTGGGAGCTAGAGGAACCTCCTAAACGAAAAATGATGTCTCCTTCTGATAGGTTTTGCGAAGACAACTATTTAAAAACCACACGTAGAATGTCGGACGGGAGATATATAGTGACACTTCCAATCAAACCAGACATAGATTGTAATGAGTACTTAGGTAACTCGCGCGAAATAGTTTTGAAGCAATATCTTCGTAGTGAGTCGTCTTTATTGAGAAAATCGGACGTTAAGGTTGTTTATGACAAAGTCTTGAAAGAATATTTAGATCTTGGCCACATGAGGTTAGTATCACCTAATTCGCTAAATGATACTTTATACTGTTATTTGCCTCACCACCCTGTCATAAATCCGGACAAACAGACGACTAAACTTCGGGTTGTTTTTAATGCGTCTTTCAAAACTTCTAGCGGAAAAAGTCTAAACGACTTGCTCTATGTGGGCCCCACCTTGCAACTTGATTTAGTTTTGCTGATTCTGCGGTGGCGTATTTTTAAATTCGTTTTTAACTCGGATATTACTCAGATGTATAGACAGATTCGCGTCGATCCAAAACATACTCCCCTTCAGAGAATTATTTTCCGTGATTCCCCCTCGAAACCGGTACAAGACTATGAATTACAAACGGTGACTTTCGGTGTAAATTGTGCACCATATTTGGCTATTCGAACGCTATTGCAACTTGCGAAAGACACTGAGACCGAGTTTCCCATCGCCGCACACATTTTGCGCAAATGTATGTATGTAGATGACGTGCTAGCAGGATCACATGACTTGGAGACGGCTGTTACTGCTAGGGATCAGTTAATATCAGCGTTGTCTACGGCAAAGTTCGAACTTCGGAAGTGGACATCGAATAACAGATCGATTTTAGAAGGTATACCTTCTGATCAACTGCTAGATCATAAAATATTGTCCTTTGTAGAATCTAGTAGCTCTAAGCCATTAGGAATAAGGTGGAATGCACATTTGGACACATTTTACTTTGAGGTTGCCCCTATCGCGAAGAAGGCTACCTACACCAAACGGGAAGTTCTTTCCGCCATTGCAAAATTATTTGATCCTGTGGGCTGGTTAGGACCTGTACTCGTCGTTGCTAAAATGGTCATGCAAAAGGTGTGGTTGGATAACATTGGTTGGGATGACACCCTTTTACCAGCCACATATGCCGATTGGCGGCAGTTTGTGAATTCCTACACAGATGTTAATTCGGTTTTGGTTCCAAGATGGGTTCAGTATACTCCCAATTGTTCAGCTGAACTCCATGTTTTTTCAGATGCCTCGGAAAAAAGCATACGCGGGGGTAATTTATATTCGTATTGAGTCTCCTAGTGGAAGTATTTTTGTCCATTTACTCTCGTGTAAAACTAGGGTGGCCCCCATAAAATCAATTTCTCTACCTCGTTTGGAACTATGCGGGGCGGTTTTGGCTTCCGAGCTTTTAAAAACTATAGTTAGTGAAATTGATATAGAGTTTCGTCAAGTTTATTGTTGGACGGACTCAACTATAGTTCTTTCTTGGCTACGAAAAACCCCTTCGACTTGGACTACGTTTGTGGCTATTCGCGTCTGTCGAATCCAAGAAAACGTTGGTAATCACAATTGGTACCACGTGAAATCTGAGGATAATCCTGCAGATTTGGGAAGTCGTGGCTCTTCTCCTTTAGATCTCGCCAATTCCTCTCTATGGTGGCATGGACCAAGTTGGTTAAGGGAACACAAATCTAAGTGGTTAATTCGTGATCTATCGGTTCTGGAAACGGACACTGAGAGGCGTTCTGTAAAAAGTCATGCCTCATTTCTTGCGAGCTCTGAAGACTTGCTGGTTAGGTTCTCTTGTTTGGGCAGAGCTCTTCGGGTCATCTCCTATATCTTTCGATTCTTTCATCGCACTCACCCAAGACATAGAAACAATTTTGTTTACACTGGCGATATAGCATCCCCAACTGAAATCGACTTCGTCCGTAGTAGATTGATAATTTTGGCTCAACAGATGTATTATGCGGACGAATATAGGGATTTATCACAAAGTCGTCCTCTTGATAGAAAGAGTTCTTTGGCTCCGTTAAACCCCTTTTTGGATGAGAGTGGCATAATTCGTATGAATGGAAGATTAGTTAACTCTCCTACCCTTGCGTACACGGAAAGACATCCTACCATATTGCCCTATCATTGTAGGTTCGTGAAACTTTTGGTGGAATTTGTCCACAAGATTTCTGTTCACGGTGGAAACCAGTTGATGTTGAGGATACTTAGAATTGAATATTGGGTTCCTCGACTAAAAAGTCTAATTCGTTTGGTTATTAATCGGTGCCGAACTTGCATTTTACAGAAAAAGCGTTCGATAAATCAGGTAATGGCTGCGCTTCCACCTGAAAGGACTGTTATTGACAGGCCTTTTTCTACAACTGGTGTAGATTTCGCTGGGCCATTTGAGGTCAAAGCATTTACGGGTCGAGCCTGCAAAATTACAAAAGGCTACGTATGTGTTTTTGTATGTTTTTCGACGAAAGCAATACATCTGGAGGCAGTGTCAGATCTCTCGACTGCAAATTTTTTGGCAGCATTTCATAGGTTTGTTGCTCGACGTGGTTGTCCTCGGTCCGTATTCTCGGACAACGGTACAAATTTTGTTGGGGCTTCCAGAGAATTAGAGCGGAATTTTAGGGCATTTCTCCGAGATTGCTCAGGAACCATTTCTTCCAATTATGCAATTCATGGCCTATCGTGGCAATTTATTCCAGCTGGGGCCCCACATATGGGTGGGCTTTGGGAAGCTGGAGTAAAAAGTTTTAAGTTGCACTTTCGAAAGCAGGTCCGTAATCTTCGGTATACTTTTGAAGAGTTGGCTACAGTTTTGGCCAGAATTGAGGCTTGTTTGAACTCTCGACCGCTTTGTCCCATGTCAGATAGTTCAACTGACGTCGTTGCTTTGACACCTGGACATTTCTTAATCGGTGCTCCATTACTTGCTCCCCCAGAGCCATCGATAGCTGAACAACCTTTATCTATAGTAAACAGGTTTCGAAAAGTTCAGGCTTTAGTTCATCAATTTTGTTTAAGATGGAAAGAGGAGTATCTTAAAAGTTTGCACATGCGGTATAAATGGAAATTTCCGCAACGTGATATTCAAAAAGATGATATCGTCGTGATTAGACACGAAACGCTTCCTCCCACATCGTAGAAATTAGGGAGAATTGAAAACGTATATCCCGGTCCGGACGGTCATACTCGCGTCGCCGATGTTCGCATAGAGAATAGCGTTGTAAGACGGCCTATTACTAAATTGGTCGTGTTGACCGAATAACTTTCGATATTGTTAACCTCGTTTTTCTCCTCAGTATCATGGAAAAATTATCTTTCTTTGCTGATGATGGACTTAAGGACTACGACGAGCTGCTAGAGGAGATTGATAGAGCGACCGCTTCGCCTGTTCCCAGTTCTGCCGCCACCATCAAATTGCCGCCTATTGTACATGAGGCTATGGACCTGGTGGAAAATGAGGCGGTTCCCAATCCTCCGGCACTGGCACCCCCGACCGACAAACCGATGGAGTCTTCTACCCTGACTTTGTCAAGACCGGCTGTTTCGGAGTCGACAACATTTGGTTGCAATTTGTGCAACGGGACACATCCCCTTCGCTTTTGCGAAAAGTTTTTGGGCATGCCGATTGAAAAGCGGCACAGGGCAGTAGTAATGTACCACTACTGCATACGATGTCTGGCACGGTCCCACCTGGCAAAAGACTGTCCCAGTCGAAAAAGCTGTCGTCTTTGCAACGACAAACATCATACGCTGTTACATGATGGTCCGCTAAGCCTTCCTCATAGGCCAAATTCCCGTCCTGCTCGTAAGCATCGTCCGTATCAGAAGCCCAGGGTCCGTCCGAATAATCGTTCCGATACCCGTCCGTCTGCTGATACAGGTCCGTCCAACTACTCCAATTTCACTCCCTTAGAGGGGCTGCCACTTGTTGGTGTGGTCTCGCTCTCCCCAAGCCTTGTAGTACACTTAGCAGGTCCTAAGTCGTCTATTCCCGTCCGTGGACTGATAGATCAGTGTGCCAGACAAAGTCAAATATGCACATCATTGGTACACAGTCTTCGGCTGCCCTGCTTTACCGTTGACAGTATACGCTATTGCCGTTTCACTGTTCGTTCGACTCACGATTCAGCACAGTCAGTGGTAGTGATGGCGCGAGTCTGCGATTTGTCACATGTCTCGACTCCTCCAGAAACGGTGCCGGAGAGGATTAAAGAGTCGTACCTTGGTCTACCACTTGCGGATCCGCAATTTTTCAAAGTGGGACGGGTGGCGCTGATATTGGGTCCGGAATTGTATTCCAAAATAATGACCAGTCGGGTTCATTTGTTTGTCGGATTGCCAATGGCCCAGTATTCGATCTTTGGCTGGGTTCTCTCCGGGGTGTGCAGCAACTAACCAGGATCCTTATGATCCTTCGCGGGGTCCCTAATGGCCCGAGGTCCCGAGCGGCCTCAAATGTTTCTAGGGTCCCTAATGGCCCGGGGTTGCTAGTGACTCCGAATGTTTGAAGGGTCCCTAATGGCCCGGGGTCTCTTTTGGCCCCGAATGTTTTACGGGTCCCTAATGGCCCGGGGTCTCTTATGATCCCGAATGTTTTATAGGTCCCTAATGGCCTGGAGTCCCTAGCAACCCCAAATGTCCTGTTAAAAAAAAAAAAAAATAAAATATATGTATACACATTGTAAATTTACATATTAATATAATGAATTTAAAATTGTTAAAATGAATTTATTATGATTTTCTGTTTCAACATCCTGACGATGTTGAAAGGTGGGCGCCAAATGTTTAAGTAAGAATGTTTATGAAATATAGTTTATTAAACAAAGGTCAGATTTGTGACCAAAATTATCCTTAAAATCTGCATACTCCTTAATGTTACATCCTTGTTACATTTGTGTTGCAGATTTTAACGATAGTTAATTCGTTAAGTTGTTTGACGTTTTCCCCACCTCTCATCATCACTGTTTTTCTTCCGTTTTGGGATCTCGAAACGCAAACTACGCTTTTTTGTAAGCTGCGCATATTGTTGCAAAAACAGGTAAAATTGTTACCAAATTTATATATTTTATATTTAATAAACCAAACTATTTGACTCTTGGTCAAATATAATTCAAATTCTAAAATTAAAGTGTTTTATTTTGGTTTTCTTTTATTTACATTGGCGTAAACATATTTTATTTATGTTTTTAGTTGAATTGAAATTAAATTTATATATTTGTATTTATACAAAACAAAACATTTCCCCCTATATTATGCTAGTACACTTTAATAATAGTAATATCATTATGCATTAGTTGGCGCTCATGACTCAACTCATGAGTGCTAACTGAAATTTCTTTGAGTGGACGTTCACTCTCTCGCACCAATACGCATTCATTTTTAGTTTTGAGCATCCCTGATTTAAAACATAAAAATGAGTTATCCTTGTGGAGTCTGTGACTTGGAAACAGAAAAAACGAAATGTGTACTATGCAGAGAATGTAGTGTCTGGTATCATGCTGATCATCGAACACTAGCAAGTGAATTAAATAATGATCAAAATAAAAAATAAGTTTCAAGATGTTGTTACGGAAATTCGAGCAGATTTATCTAGAAGCCTACAGGAAATCAAAGATGATGTTGTTAACTACGGAGACCTTGTCAAATCCCATGATTTGTCTTATAAGAGTAAGTTCGTAGAACTTGAATATCAGAACCATATCTTGCAGCACAGATTAAACAGAGGCGACATTTTGATGTCTGGTTTATCTGATAATCTTGAAAAGCTTGATGATACTGCTGTTTACATGTGTGCATTTTTTAAAGTGGACATCTCACCTGGATGTGTTGATCATGTTATGTATGTCAATTACCGAAGATCTATACTCATAAAATTCAACAATGTCTTAAAACGAGATAAAGTCATGGCTGCTTATTTTAAAACCAAATCCCTCAAGGTGTCGGATGTTATTGGCGGATCGAACCTAGCAAATAATCTTTTTAACATCTGTTGGAAATTTTAGAAGGAAACCAAAATTACTGGCTTTAATCTTATAAATCTTGAAGTGCTGAAAGCTAAAATTACTTTGCCTAATTAAGACCCTAAAGTCTTTAATCTTTATCAATGAATTGAATATTTTAAATCTCACCAGCTATATTTTTAGTTTTTAATTTGTTACAATTGATCTCATTCATTTTGATAATCATATTACAATTGCTATATTCCCTTTTCATTTACGTGGTAATACAGTTATAAATTTATTTTTTTTTTTTTAACATTGAAAATTATATTGATGTTTTTATTATTTATCAATTTCTACCCCCAAACATATGAATATTGTCCACAACTATATGATGTCTAACATCAATCTTGGTCCCATAGCTAATGATAACTTTATAAAGAATCTAACTTCTTCTCTTTCAATGAATTTAAATATTGCGCATATTAACGCTCAAAGCCTCTGTCCTTCCAATTCCAATGTCAAACTAGATGAATTTAAGAATATTTTTTTGTGACTCTGGGTTAGACATTGTTGGAGTTTTTGAGACACGGCTTACGCCAGCTATGTTTTCAAGCTCTCTTTCAGTTCCGAATTTCAACCTAATAAGAAATGATCGCGTTTCACGCCGGGCGGTGGTGTATGTTTTTATATTGCTAGACATCTCCGTTATAAAGTAATCTTCCAAAGTGCCCAAAATAAAGGATGTGAGTCGTTAATTGTAGAAGTTTTTGAAGCAAATGCGTCTGTTATTTTTAGTGTGGTATATTTGCCAACTGGTGCAAATTACGTGTTTGAAAATCTTCATTCGAATATATTTGATAGATCTTCGAATATTATAGTGATAGTCAAATCTTGTACTTTTCGTTCTCTGGTTGCTAGATGTGGTCTTAGCTGTATGCATAATTCTTTGCCTACGCATTATAATGTTCCCACTAATCGCACTTCTTTGATTGATTACTTTTTAGCCAGCAATCCGTCACATGTTGCCCATAGCATACAGATGCAATGTCAATTCTTTTCATCCTACCATAGTTTGATTTTCATTTCTATGGAATTTGTATCTCATGCGAGGCATGATTGGGTTGAATTTAAGGATGGCAATAAATGCAGGATTGAAAGTATTGCTGACTTTGCTTTTGATGTTGATTTAGATTCTATTCATTGTTCTAACGATGTTAATTTTCAATTATCCACTTTATCTAATGCAATTAACTTATTTCATTCGTATGTTCCTACTGTTAAATTTATTCCTTCCTCTACCGATCATTTATGGATGAGCTCGTCTGAAGTTAAACAAGCTAGAAAAAATAGAGACGCTTTTTATTCTGACTATCTTAGAAGTCCTACAGAGCAAAATTGGAAGAAATATACTCGACTTAGAAATAAGACTAAGTCCACTATAAGAAAAGCACGTTTTCGGTACGGTAATAGAATTTTTTCAGATGCAAATGTGGAAAAAATTACGACATTGGCCGTGAAGAATCTTTGGAAATTGAAGGCAATGATGTTGATACTTCAGATGAAGTCACATTTAACATTGAAGAATTTATTGATTATACTAATTCGTTATTCTCGTTTCATGCTTTCCGAAAAAAGCACAACACGACTTCTGCCCTACTAGCTATTACAGATTCCATAAGAAAGCATATTGACAATCACGATGGTTGTATGTTTGTCTCTTAGATGTCTCCAAAGCTTTTGATCGTGTCAGTCATGTCATCTTGTTAAATAAACTTAGATACGAATATATGTTTTCTAAATCAGCTTGTAAATTAATCTAGTTGAACGTAAACAGTTTGTATCTTACAATGGTTTTAATTCTTGTATTGGTAATGTGACTTCTAGTGTAAAGCAAGGATCGATTTTAGGCCCCATTCTATTTCTTATTTATATAAATGATGTTGTTTCAGCATTGCAAAGTTCTATACATAATCCTTACGTATTTGCAGATGACATTTTTTGTTGTTCAAATCGTATTAACCTGTAGAATCTGTGAATAAACATCTTTCATTTATTTCAAATTTATTGTTATCTAACAAGTTCGAAATTAACCCTTCAAAGACTAAAGCTTTATATTTTTATCCACGTAATCAAATTGCATCTGTTAACAGTATAGCAATAAATGGTTCCCCTATTGAATTTGTGTATTCTATGAAGTGTCTTGGCTTAATTCTTGATTCTCATCTTAGTTTTACTGACCATATAAATGATATTAATGGAAATGTGTGCCTTACTTTGAGAAGACTTTATAGTTTTAATGCTTTTACACACTTAAATGTTAGAATACACTTGGCTAACCCTTTATTAGTGTTCATTGTAAATTATGGCATTGATTTTTTTTTTCTGGAACGTGGTATTATAATCTTGGTAGGATTGAAAAAATAGTTCGAAGAATTGTTAGATATATTATTCATATAGGTATCCAGGAGCATGTACGTGCTCTTCAATTTACACCAGTATTTCTTGATTGCAAATGAAGGGATTACATTAATCTGCGTACACTTCTTAATTTTTACAAGATAGTTAGAACCCAACAACCTCAAGTGTTGGATCAAGAGTTCACATTTATAAATTCTACACGTAACATACAAATTGATGCTCCATTAGTACCAACTTCTACTTTTGAACACTCCTCCCTAGTTCGTGCTTACCCAGTCTGGAACTGGTTTCAAAGTTTGGCTATTCTTACTCCACATATAAGAAGTTATTGAAATCGCATTTCAATGTGGAGTATGATGCATAAAATTAACTTGTTGTTGTGAGATCCCTAACTTTATTTTAATTTATAATATTCATATGGCTGGGGCCATCTTCGTTCTTATTATTGTTATTTTTTTAATTTGTCTATTCTATCATAGTTTAGCACTATTTTTAAGTTAAATTTCCAATACATGCATAATTGACCTTCGGTGGCTTTTTTTTGTATTGAATGTAAATAAATGAAATTTAATGAAATAATTTGGAAACAAAAATAAAACATCATCGTGTTTTTACATCAAAAAGAAGTAAATATATTAAAATCATTTAAAAAAATCAAAATATCAGCAATTTAAATTAAATATAATAAATTGATCCAATGTGGTTAATTGATACCTACTAATGATAAGGTGCAAATAAATTAAATGATAGAATATAAAGATGAATAGAAAATAAGAAAAATCAGCGGTTGTTTCTGTTTTTTTTTTTCTTCTCCTCCTTTTGGTTTCTAGCCTCTTGAACTTAATCTAATCGCATCAAACCATCATCCACATTAGGGTGGCACTATTTAATAATGTTTTAAATGTATGCGAATGAGAGTAGAACTAAGTCAGAAAATATTTATTATTTTTTTACCGATTTTCTTTTCAAACACCAGATGATTAGCAACGTTATTGTCTCAGTTAAAAAATATGGTGACTCATATTAAAACATAGCAAAACAAAAGTAAATAAATCATTTACTCACTCAGTTATCACGACCCCACGACGAAAGTACTTTCGCAGAGGCAATGATGGTGGCAGCGCTGGTGAATGCACTGCTTATACGGCAATACAGATTAAAAAAGAGCCATTATGATGGAATGCAACTAGCAGAACCCGAGTTTTATAAGTCTGCTCTCTGGGGCTCAACTTACTATTTTTGGTTGGGTTGTATCCTGTCCTTACTCGCTTTGGAGTTGCATGAGGTGATCGGCTTGTTTTATTTATTATTTATTTAGATTGTAAATATTTTGCTATATATCAAATATCTTGGCTATTTACGTATATTTGTGATTTAATCAGGAATTTAAAATATGTGCAGTTTAATGGAAATATTTTTATATTTGTACACAAATATTATCCGATAAGCATATAAACTATTAAGCTTCTGCCTTTAACTCTAACTCCGTTCAAAAGTCAGCGTCGATTGGTCTATAACTGTTTTCTGTTATGCAAACATGATTTTTTGGAAAATATTGCAGGGAAATAAATGACAATTTAGGTCCAGTTGTAACACTAGTATTCTCTACAGGGAAGGCAGTACAGAATACTTGGAAAAGACACGCTTGATATTAAATATAATTATAATCATTAGACTCGCATTTTTATCCAGATACAAATCATAGAAATTAAATTATTTATATAATATCGAAATTATCGAAACTATCAACATCGCACAATTCAAGCGTTGTATGCATCTATTACAAAAACTACACACATTTTAGT